ACACATGAAGCTCATTCTCATAAAAATCCTCAAGTCATGAAAACCACATCATTTAAAACAGTTTTTATTGTTATTGAAAAATCATGACATAAAACACGTTTCATGACTTAAAACATTATTCGTGAGCATTGGTGTATATATGCATTCTAAATGAAGTTGCATGCTGAATTGGTTCATGAATGCTTTGGTTAAATGGTCATGTAACCAAGTCATAAGAATATGTACAAAATCGAACGAGCATAACGGCATAATAACATTATCTCCCATAAACATTCCAATCAACACATACCATATCATCACCATAGCAAGAACACATCTTCTCAAATACTCACATTTCAACCATAAATAACACTTATCATTCAAATATACTAAATACCAATTCAAAGTATAAACAAGCATAATATCACACAAAATGACAAAGTTTAAACTTTTCTTCACATTAGGCTAACTTTTATTCTATTATTATTTAGTCATTTTCATTTATTTATTAATACCCATTTTACATCCATTATGTCCTAACTTAATTAAAATGTCCTAATTGTATAATGTTTGACTAATTGTGGGTATTATTTTCTTATTGGGCCAAACTTTTAACTTTTTCATTTTAGACCCATTCTTGGTACCCACTAAATTTTTATATTCTCTTCAACCTTATTACATAATTATAACCTCAAATTGACCATTTGAAGGATTAAGGGTTATTTAAACTTTATATCTAAATTTCTCTCCTTTAGGCCAAATTTTCCTCATTTTCAGATCCTAATAATTTATTCTCCTTTGATCCTAAACTTTTAACACTATATAGACTAAATAAAAAGAAACTATATGGATCAATTAAATTCACATTTAGGGTGCAAATTTATGTCCAAACCCATATTGGGCCTAAGCCCATATAACAAAATTTCTTCCATTTTCATCAATTTTTCCATTCCTACATATCAAAACATACTTATTCAAGTGTGAATCAACTATCAAATCATAAACTAAGTTCTTGGAATTCAAATTCTAAAATTTTCAAATTAGGCCGAATATAATCTCCCTAAATTAGTGATTTTTTCTTCAATTAATGTGAAATATTTCATTCTAAATCACTAATTCAGATCGAAATAAGTCAGAATCAATTCCTAAAATGCCAATTGCATGGAAGAATTAAAAACCCCTAATTTAAGCATTTGGGCCGAATGGCAACAAGGAAAGAACCCTAAGAATTTTTTAGTTTTAATCCTCAATTTCAAGCCTAATCAACCTATTTCAATCCCAATTTCATGATTTTCAAGTCAAAATTTATATCCCCCAAATTAGGTCAACAAGAAACCTAACCCTATTTTTTTTTCCAATTTATGGAATTAATCAAATCAAAGCAATTAAACACAAATTTGGCATGAAATCAAGCTTGTTTTTAGTGTAGATAAAGTTAACTTGTTTGAGCTTCAATTAGACTCTAAAAAGGAAACTTGTTGAAGGATTTCTCTTTCTCCTTTTTTCCTCTAAATTTCAAATTTGATCTTCTAATTTTTTCCTTTAGAATTTTCGGCTTCCCACTTGAAATTTAAGCTCCTTCCATTGATTAAAGGTGCTTAAAAATTATTCAAATGTTCTGGGTGATTTTTAAGTGGAAATTTTGCAAGAATTTTGTTTGAGTTTTTCTATTTTCTTATCATTTTTATCTTTTCCAGTCACAAATATTTATAGCAGGAGTTTTTGGAAATTTTTACTTGATCTATATCCTTAATTTGAGTGAATGTTAACCCTTAATTCATTTTTTAATTATTTATTTGCATTTGTCCCAATTTTGGCCATTTATTCACCTTTTTATTTAACCCTTCCACCTTGCTTATTTTTTTCCATAATTTTTACCGCAAGTCGACCTCATTAATTTCCTTTAGCTAGCCAAATTTGGGAGAAAAGTAACAAGTTTTGATCCTCCAAGTTTCTAGACTTTTTCATAAACCATTCTTTTCTAAATCCCTCTTTTATGCAAAAAAATCATTTCTAATCCTCCCTTTTTATTTTTTACGACCAATTTTGACCGTTAACATTTATACATAATTTAATTTGGATTATTAGACTTTTAATTTTATGCAATTGAGTCTCTAATTTTATACAATTTAGTCCCTATTTTTAAAATTTCATCCTATACTCTTCAAAAATCCAATATCTTTCAGAATAAATTCAAAACTTTATTAAGGGAGTTTATTTTAAATGTTCATAATTTTTTAGCCTCATTTGAGCCTCTAAGTTAATTATTTATTGTGAAAATTACACTATTTCTTATTAAAAATATTCCCCATACTTAATAAAGTTAATTTAAATTTTCTAGGCACTCTCACACGTCCTATATGATTATTCTATGTTTTTTTTTAAAAAAAATTCTCATGCTCTTAAGGTGCCTAATTAAATTCTTTAGCTCTAAAAATATTATTCGACACATCAAAATTCAAATAAAATATTCATAGCACATAATAAAATTCAAAAAATTACATAAAATAATTCAACACCCCTCTAAAACATATTCTAAACAAAGAAAATATTTTTCTTGCACACACAAGATGCGCAAAATAATTATTTCACCCAAAAATCACTATTCATGCACCGTAAAATCGATAAAATATTCATTTAGCATAAAAAGACTATTTTACCTACTCCGAATATTCTTTCAAGTCTTTGTGAACTATTTTATGTCTTCAAAATATCTCACATATATTTTTAAATATTTAATAATTTTGTTTTTATTTAATTAGTTTAAGTGGGTATCGATTATTACACGATCGGTAAGAGCAAAACATATTCCATTCAAAAAAACGTATTTCTTTCCGCTTACAATGCATTTACAACGATTGTATACATTAAATGTCAAAGCCGAGTACATGACATGGCACGTTAAACATGAGATTAGGGATGAAAGAATCATGCGTCCATACTCTAAATCTATTGTATGGTGGTGTTTTGATTAAACACATCCTTCTTTTATATTAGAAAGAAGAAATATCAAATTGAGAGTTTGCATTGATAGGTTTTAGCCTTTCTATCAATCTGGTACTCAATATTTTTCTTGGTTGGTAACTCGTGATGCCTTACAATTTACTATCGTTGATGTGCATAAAAAAATATATGTTCTTAATAGTTATTGTTCCTAGACCATCAAACCCAAAGCATAATTTGGATGTGTTCTTACGACCTTTGAATGTGTAGTTGCTTCATTTGTGAGAAGTGAGTATGGTGACCTACGATGTTTATCAAATGCGGAATTTTCTATTGTGTGCTATTATGATGTGGACAATCAATGACTTATCTACATATTTGATATTGTCCGATTAGAGTACTCGTAGAGATATTTGTATGTCCGTTTTATATAGAGAATTTTGATGTTTTCACCCTTTTCAATAGAAAAAAGTTCTCATGGTTTGACAATCACCAAAAGTTCCTCTATGAAAATCATACATTTAAGAGGAACTAGAAGTCATTTATCAAAAGTAAAGTTGTGAGGGACAACCCTTCTTCAATCCGATCTAGAGAGGATATTTTTCAATAAATAACTTATTGGGGGTTGATAAAGATGATAAAAAATGGTGCAAATCCATGTAACAATAGAATATTTCAAATGTCTAGTTGGAAGAAACGAGTATATTCCGAGATTTGTCATATTGAAGTACTAATCTCATTCGGGACAATTTCGATGTTATGCATATTGAAAAAAAATATATTCGATAATGTGTTTAACACAATAATGAATGTGTTTGACAAAACCAAAGACAATATAAATTTCAGAAAAAAAAACTTAAATTTTTTTTATCCAAGGCCAAAATTAGTAAAGATGAAGCTTTAAAAAAATATCTTAAAGCAATTTTTATGCCTGACAAAGACCAGGGCTAGTCGTTTAGATTCTGCATTTTTGTTTTTTAAGCTACATAATTAATCTATCGGCCAAAAATAAAATTGATCTAAACATCATCTTTTTATCCTACTAACAATGCTTATAAAGTTTCGAACGCATCAATAGATAGCCATTCTCTTTTTGAGTTTTTTTTTCTATAATAAGGTACTTTTTTATCTTATTTTTTATAATATTGTAGTTTTAAACTTATTTCTCTTAGTAAGATACTATATGCCATATAAGAGTAATTTTAATTAAATACAATGACATGTTAGTTTTGTTTTTTTTTTTTAATGACATGCCAGTTTTAGTTTTTTTCCCTATAATTCTGTCCCTAATAAAAAATAAGAAAACAAAACTATAACCCTATCTAAAATCGATCGCACATCATTAGTTCAAATTTGGCTTTGGCCCTCTTTTTCAAAATCTGCTGATGAAAATTTGAATGCCTTTTCTAATCAAAACTAGGGCTGGCTAGCTGACCGATACTCCGACAACATTCTTCCAGCCTTGTACCTTACACCACAAGCGTTACACAGCGTCTTCGGACCCAACGGACCCATCCTCCATTGTGGAGTGCCCCACAATTAGTACATCCCCTTTTTGAAAAATGTGCCAAACTCATCTCAGAATGATTTTCTATTGCCGAAAACATAAAATCCTTCATTGACCATGCACACAGCGTCGAAGTTCGTTTACTTCACGGCTTCTTTTTAGTGATGCCAAGTTTGCAATCTTTTAATGGAGTAGTTTGCAGAACTCTCCTTTATTGACATCTCAGCATTCAAATTTATGATATTACAGACCTCTCCTCTGTAGAAAAGGTCCCAAGTTCAAATATTCCATTCCAAGAAAATATCAAAATATGTCATCAGTGATGCTGAAACTGTTTGACCCTAAACCTAATTTGCCCAATAGCTTGTGGATTGGAAAAAAGAAAATTTTATCAAAATTAAATAAATAAAAACAAGATAATTTATTTATTTAGGGACAAAACTCTTCTCTTTTCCTTCGTTGGCTTTGAGAACTCAATTTTGTTACAGTCGCCGATATCAGTTTTGATTTGAGAGAGAGAGAGAGAGAGAGAGAGAGGCTGTGAGGGCTTCTTTAGAGAAACCCAGAAAGGATGCCAAAGCGGAAAAGCTACGGTGAAACAGGAGAGAAGAGAGTAAGCAGGAGCCAATTCAAGCTCGCAGACCCTTCTCAAGAGTCCTCCTCTGCCACTGCTAAACCGAAACAAGAGGTAGACTCTCTCTCTATAGAATGATTGCTTATCAGTAAAAAATTGTGTTTCGTTTGTGGGGTTTTAGCTAAAAGATTGATGATTGCTACAAAATGGAAAAATTTGTGTTTCTGTTTGTGGGATTTGGAAAGAAACGATGAATTGGTCACAATGGAAACCTTTTTTTGGTTTTTGGTGTTGATAAGCAAAATGGTGAGCCAATTGTGAATAAAAGTCCCTACTTTTTGTCATTCTAGCAATCAATACGTTTTCTTATTTGGCTATAGCTGGGCTTTTAAATAATGTTTGGTATACCCGAATTTACAGTATTTTTTGCTTAATTTGTATTGTTTCTGTTTGGTTGCCTAGAAAATCTGGTAGGAAGAGGAGAAACGGGTTGTCGGTTCTTACTTTTGGTTTATGGCTGGTTATGGTGGGATCACTGATACATGTTTGAGTATAACTTGATCATAGACCTTAATGTTTTGAGATAATTTTGGCTATTGAGAATCTGTTTCCATGGTTTTCTGCGTGTGATAAAACCTTTGCAATTAGTATTGGTTTTACAGGTGGTTTCTGGGACAACAGCTGCTTATCCAGCTTCCTCCTTCAAGAATCTGAGCGAAGCTGAAAAAACACCCAACCATTATTCTTCCTTGAGATTGACAGAGACATTTCAAGAAGCAAAGAGTATTAGTATCCCGAAGCCATGCAAAGCAGTTAAATGAAGCTGATTTAGAAGATAATTTATGCGCTGATTCCTCTTCAAAACTTCAGGCTGTAATTAACAAAAATCTTGGATCAGTCAAGATACCTCTTTGTCCAGCTTTTTCCTTAAAGAATATGAGTCAAACTGAATATAAGGTGAAGGAAAACTTGATGCCTCTTCTTAGAAACATTCTTGGGAAATATGGAGACATAGCTGCAAATTACATTATGAAAACACCTGAGGGCAGGTCTTCAGTCTTGGAAGATGTTTGTGGACTTATCTACACATTTCAAGAAAAGAAATTTGGTGAGCTTACACTTTTTCAAATTGAAAATGCAGTAGCCATTGTCACTGATTTTGAAAGAGCAGGTCTGAAAGTTGATTGGCTCAAGCAAACATTGGAAGATATTTTGGAGACAAGGAAAGTGATTAAACAACCTACTTCCTTGAAGGAGGCTAGGTATAAAACTAATCAAGTTATCAATGAGAAGAAGAGAAAGCTGGAAGAATATGAAGCTCTTATGGGGTGGTACTTCAATCAAGGATGGTGGTGTTTCAAGAAAAAACGGCAATGCTTCAACAAAACGTGAGCTTAACAAAGAAGGAACTGCATGCAGCCAAAACTAAGGCTGAAAGGATAAACGAAACTATCTCAAATGCGAAGGCTAAAGTGATTTACCACACAGAACATTCACCGTTGAATGAGCTCCTCTGATTTGTCTTATTGTCTTCTCTAATTTGAACTATAGTATACCTAACGAAGTCATTCGGTTCGAATCATCTTGTGCAAATTTGAAGTCCTGCTATTTTGGTTTTGTTCATTTTTTGCAGGCAAACAAACTCTGTTGCGCTGTTCTTTTGGTAACTATATCATTTGGTCTTGTACATTGCCTCATTGCTGAAAAGTTTAACTGCTCTTTACTTGTAATGACAATATGTATTTTTTTTCCTTTTCTACTATTGTTTTTGCCTCTGTATTTCTATTTCTTGAAATTGCGTAATGCAGGGACGCAGCATTGCAGAACCCCTTTAGATATCAACAGCCAAAACTAAAAGTAAGCAGATGGGCTTTAAATGATTATGATTTATGAAAGTATTGGAGGGAGCCAAAACAAAGTGGAAACATAAAATTTATATTTGAAAGAACTAAAGAAAGACGAGACCATAAAACAGGAAACAGACACTACGCATTTTAACACACAAGTTATTTAAAGCATGGATCTAATTAGGTACTGCAATTCAATCATTAATCTTCCTGCAACTCTTTCTAATATCGCCCCTGGAACCTGTCAACGGAGAGATATTTCCCATCTTAACCATGGACTTGGCAAATTGCTCAAAGAAAATCTCACAGTTCTCAGCATATTTATTGACCAATTCCATTGATGCTTCATTCTTTGTCAGGAGAACTTGGTCAGAGCTCAACAGTCCCTTTGAAGCCACTATGTTCTTGAAGTAGTTGTTATCAAACTTTGTTGGACTTACAAAGTCCAAGAAAAACAGGTTCTGGTCACCTCCTGATCTGGGGCACCGGGTGCGCAATTGGGCAGCAAAAGATTGCTGAAGAGTGTAGTCAGGCTGCCCATTTCCTGACTGGTTGTACAGCCTCTGCCTGAAGCTGGTGCACCGAGCATTTCCAATTGTGTGGCTCCCTGAACAAAATTTTTCGAAACTTAAGGACCATATTCGTAGTTTGCGGAAACTCAAACAAGGGCATTAGTTGAGTTAATTTACCAGATAGTGCTACAAGATCAACAACATTAAGACCTTGTAACTTGAACTTGGTAAGTATTGTTTGGAATGTATTGTTAGGAGCAGGAATATTGCCGTTAGAACCACTCAAACTTGCTCCTCTAGAGTCCCTTCTTCCCAATGGAACTTCCCAGCTAGGACCGCCAGTCTGTGTAGATAAACAATATTTGGTCAGCTCTGGAATTTTCCCCAGATAAGGTCGGTTAAATTTGATGACTAGCCTAATTAACACGTAACACATACAAGAACAGTAGAATCTCTTGCAGCCAAAGCCATGACATCAGCACAGGAAACTGTTTGAGGACACTCCTTCTCTAGTGCAGCTTTAATCTCGTCGATTACTTCAAATCCTCGAGCTGAGTTTCTGTTCGGATTTGAACTCTTCTCGCTTATTATGCTTCCACTGCTGTCTAGCAATACGGATGCATCACACCCCTGCGATGTTAAAAACATAGTGTAAATTGTTTTAGACATGATAGTGGAAGAGATAGTGATGATCAGAGTTATACATAGTAATCAGTTATAGACCTTGACAAAACAGTCATGAAAATGGAGCCTGAGTAATGAGGCTGCCATACGAGCTTCTTTAGCAACTGCCTTGGCTACAATGGAGTTGACTATTTCTTGAGCTTTTGGGCATGACCTGTCGTAAAATTGTGGGTAGAGGTAGCCACCATTGGTCTTGCCACAAAAGCAAAGGGGAGCAAAGGAAAGGAGAGAAAGACCAAGAACTAAGACAGTGCTAACAGACTGAGTGATCATTACTGCTTGAATTTATTTTTTAGACTATTAATTTCAAGACCAAGACTTCTTCTTCGCAGGAATGGTAAGAACTATGAAGAGGATTTAAGTTTCAAAAGTTGCTATGATGAGAGAAGTACGGATGGTCTTAGGGTATTTATAGAAGGAATTACCTTATGAATAGCCTTGAGAAATAGTGGGAAAGGAGGGGAGGGAACAAAAAGTTGGAGTTGGTAACTAACTAGCTTTTCGACAATGGAAAGGGAGAAAAGAAACGATAAGAGTGGTTAGCAATTTATTCTTATTTAGGCTAATTAGTCACATTATGCAAACTTATAAAGAAAGCAACTAAGCAGTTCCTAAACTGATTTGAAGTTAAGTAATTAAGCTCTTAGGTCACTTAACTAAATGTTTTTAACATGATTGATATCATTATTTAAAATGTGTCATGGGTTTTCTGTATAACTTGTTACGACCATGACAGTACTACATTGTTTGCTGGTTTAGACATCCTATCTAAATCTGTGCTTGATATATAACTTGAACTCCAGTCGTTGTTGTGGGAAAAACCAGGGTGACCATGTAATTGAACCTCATTTTTTCTAAAATGACGGAATGTACGAAAGGCAGATTTTAAAGGATGTTTTCATTTGCACAAGCGATAGATCATTTAAGACCCGAAATATTTCTATACCTTATATTTGTGTTATTTATTAAGTATATATGTTCATGTCATGTCATGTCATGTTTGTATTATTATTGATAAGTGTTTTGTTTGCAAAATTAGTGTTGCTAAGTGTTATGAGTGAATAATGAACTAATTGACAACACTACACTAAAAAATGATTATAAGGGTGGAATGCTTAGGGTGATCAACAAAACCTCCTCAAACTTTAATAACTTCTATTTTACACGGTTTACGGACAAAAATATATGAGGCGGTTGATAAAACCGCCCCCACCTCTTTATATCCAATAGCTAACCTACTTTTTCTTTCCCTTTTTTCCTATTTTGAGTTCTTTTAGAAAGAGCCCCTTCACTCGTCCCACCATTCTCCTCAACTTCTAAGCTTTTTCTTCAAGATCCGGACCCATGTCTCGACAAGTAGCAGATCCCTCTCATCCACCCTCTCCAAAATCCAAATCCTTGCCTTAACAAGCGGGAGATCTCTCCTTTTCAACTATCGCTCCCTTATTCCAAGCGGAAAGTCGTCCTTATTTTTCTAATTCTCTCGAAAAAGAAGAAAATGGTAGTAGCGAGCAAAAGCCGGGTTTAGAGGAAACTTAGTAGCGAGATAACCTTAAGAAAGTTTGCATTAACTTGGTTCGTGGTGCTAGGGATAAGAGAGATTGAGGGTTAAGGGACCTATGAGAATCACTAACAAGGTTCTTAACATCACCCTTTTCTCTTTCTCTAACAAATATATCTCAATGTAATTATTATTTTTTATTTTTGGTGTTTTGGAGCGAGAAAATAAATCAAAAGAACACATGGGAGTTGAATTTGATGGACCATCTCGACTAAGATTATCGGATCAAAAAAGAAAACGATGTTGCGACCAATTTTCAAAAGGTAAAACATCATTTTTATTTTTTAAATTTATTTATCTTTAAGCGGAATGGAGTAGAAGTATACATATGGCTTGGGTGTTCACGTTCTTGTATCCATTTATTTTCTTCGCAAAATATGAAAAAAATATTAATAGTATTCTTTCGAGCTACACTCGATTTATTTGTTTTTCTTCATGCCACACTAACCGGACTCATTTGATGGTGCTAGAGTAATGATTCTAACTAGTATTAGTTGATGCGGCGATGGTACAATGATGGTTGATTGAGATGTTGTGTGGATTAAGTCATGGCACTTATCTCGCCATTTGTTCCGTCAAAAACTCTCTTTTGTTCTATGCATCTTGTGCTTGGCAACTTATACATCTTAAAGTTGTTTTATAATCTTTCATGCTCGTTAGACGTTGCCAAGTGATGTGTTGGAATTTTGTAGATTGACCTTGGGATTAAGCTATTTTCTTGTATTTCATATCTCTTGGGCAACATTTGTACGTAGAATGATCCTAATCCATTCAACTCCTATCGGTTGAGCCATGGCCCCGGGACAAGTATAAGATTTTTATATGAGAAGTTATTTGTTCCCATATTTTTGGCACTCGGGTAATATAGATATTTTCCTTTCTATTTGGTATGGTAGCCTTGATTTTATTGTCAATATTCTAAACTTACTTTCATTTTCTCATGATTTTGTTTCACTATCATTCCACCTAATGCCCCAGGACATGCATTTCGTATCTATTGCTAAAGTAATCTTTGTTTTCTCTAATTTTCTTTCCTTTGTACCATGATTCTCTATGGTTGACAAATTATGATACCTCAAAGTTGTTTTCACTTTGCCTATCATTCGAAATCATCAATTCTCTTCTTATCCTGCATACTTTAGTTGTTAAGTTCATTGGCCATTAATTTCTATCTACATAGCTTCGTTCGTACTCGATCATCGAAGGTTGAAATGATTGCAAATCTATTCAAGCATGTTTCGATACCACTAAGGATTAAGGCATTATCGAGTGAGAGAAAAACCTTACGGTTAATGTTAATTGTTTTTAACAAAGCTGGTTTGGCGACACTTAGAATTTATTTACATTCGAGTGTTAACCAAATTTTAGCCTAGGCTTTGCATTGGTGGACAAAACCAAGTTCATATGTTGATGGTGCGGACCCATTTCGTTTTGTATGTGATAGACAAGATTGAAACATAAATATGAGTTATGATCCTTTTTAGGTATGCTTGAAAATGGTGGCGACTTGTGTGGTTCTCTTTTATAATTTTAGAGAAATGGGAAAATTTATTAGAGTTGTTGGGCTATCCTAGCTAGTTTCTCACTTTATATTCGAAAACATAAGTGGGGAAAATTAATATATGCTATGAGCTATGGTACGTCCCTACCGAGTTAGATATTCAAATGGTAGAGTATATGTCAACTATATAGGTACATTTTCTTCTTCTTTTTCCTATCCTCTAAGATTCAGTTTGGTAAAATGTTGTGTAATTAAAAAATAAATAAAAATAGAGGAAAGTGGTAAAAATTCTGAGTTTAAGCTTTCCTAATTTTATATCAACAACGAGCATAAGAATTAGGCTTGAAAAACATTCCTCCGCCCTACTTGGCTCGACCACTATTGGAGATGTTCTTCGAAAGGTGTTAGCTATGCTTCTTCCTTAGCTAGAATTTTGAATGCCACTTGGATCAAAAGTAGTAAGCTCTCTATTAGATTAAAAGTAGTAAATTTTGGTTATAGAAAATTTGAACTTGAAGGAGGTTAGTTTTTTCAAAATTTGAACAAAAGAAGTCCATTTAAACTCGAAAAAGACATTTCTTGCCTTCTACGATGCCTTGGTTGTAAATATAATCATATCTATTAAAGGATTAGTACGTGGTTTATTCATGCCAAGCTAGAATACTACTCGCTTTATCACTTTCATCTTATATACATCCATAAAAAGCCTACCGCTAAAGCCTATCGCCACCATTGATCTTTCCTATAGACACCGCCAAGCCTATCGCCACCATTGATCTAGCCTACCGCCACCATAAAAAGACATTAACACTCAAAATCTCTTCTTAAGACCCATTTGGAGTTTGGTTAGTTTTGTCGAAAGATAGTGAGAGATTTAGAACAAGGTAGGCGGTAGTGATATCCACGACAAATTAGCAAAGTGTTTTGACGAGGCAAACGAGAGGTTGACACGGACGAGAGAATTAACTTATTTTCTTTGGGAGTTGACCTTCTATTTGATAGCTATTTTAGAGATAATATTTTATTTTTCTATTAAGTAATAGAACGAAGGTTCAACATAGCTTTTCTTAGTTCCCTTGATCTTCTTTGTCGGTTATACAACCAAGGAATCAAATATAATAGTTACAAGAACTAAGCAAAACTCATCTAAGGGCTAAAGCAATGTAAAGCCTACTGCCACCATAAAAAGACAATTAACACTCAAAATCTCTTCTTTTGTTATTAGCATGATCTACAATAAAAGCTTTAATTGTGTATGTCAAGTTTGCATTATATATATATATATATATATATATATATATATATATATATATATATATATATATGTTTAATAGGAGAAATTTGACTTTTCGATATTGTAATGAAATGGATCTTGGCATCTTTAAATACGAAGTAGAGGGATTGCAAAGACTTTGATGCCTACTTTGTTGAATCCTACTCGGGTATCATACACTCGTTAATTAAATATTTAACATATTTTCCGATTTTAAAATATTTTATGAGTTTTTATATGTATTTATATTATTATTTCTTTTTTCACTTTGAAATTGTGCTTTTGATAGATTCACAATGATGGTAATGGTCAAAATGCTCCTTCTCCTAATCGTTCATCACAATCGGGTCATTTATCGAAATGAAGCATTTTATATAAAAACATGATGTAATTTGAGGAGTTTTTATCAAGTGTTTGATCCTTTAGTTTTTTTTTCTTCTTGTGGATTTTTTTAAGATTCTTATGTATTTAGAAATTGATAATTACAAATTTAAGACTATTGTGTAAGCTACATAATTTTTCTTTTATTTGCATTCAATATGATGTAATTTTTTTAATTTACTTTTTTTTTACCAACAAATGAAGTAATTAATTGAATTTGAAGGCCAAATAAAACTAAAATATTAAAGGTAGTCAAACAAACTGAAATTTGATGCTCGTTAAAACTCGCCTCTATAAATTCTAAATTTGGTATAATTTTAAACTTTGAGACGGTTTCAACCGCCTCAACAATTTAATGCAAAATTTTAAAAAAGGCGGGATTGTAGAAGTGGTTGCCAACCACCCCAAATTACACGTCAATCAATATTGAAAGATGTACAACCGCCTCAAATAAACTTTTTGAGGCGATTGTAACCGCCTAAAAAAACCACCTCATAATTCCTCGACGGTTGGCAAAACCGCCTCACACTCTAGAGACGGTAGCAATGTAGGTGGTT